CACACACACACACACACACACACACAAAGAAAAACAAGTAGATAGAATAGAAAAAATAGAAAGCTAGTGTTTGTTTGTTTTTTTGTTGTTGTTGTTTTTTTTATAAAAAAAAAAAAGAATACATTTTTTTAATCAACTGGTTTATAATCATTTATGTTTGATGTATTAATGATGCTTAAAAGTTTTTCTTTCATTCTACTTTAAATGAAGCATTTGGCAATCCAAACACAGCAGGCCAAATGCATATGAGAATGAAAACAACAGGAGACCTACTTTCCGCTTAACTTGAGTTGTATGGTTGAAGCAACACCAATGTAATGGGCTTGATTCTCACATAACACACATAATAAAGGTAAGATAGAGTAGAGTGCCAGTTTTTGGTATCCCGTCCCCGGAAATGTCAAAGTTTTACAGCACGTTCAAAACAACGATTACTTTCGCCAGCAGAGGGCGCTGCGAGCTATATTACTTGCTGCCGTGCCGCTACTGTAGCCATGAAGAACATGGACGAAAGCAGAGCGCTATTATCATCAATTATCAAAACAGACACCGTTATTGCAAGGTAGTCACATACTAACCATACATGTACTAATACATGTACTAACAAACTAATACTGTTTGTGTGCACTGTATAACAAAGCATGATACGGTTGCGGGATTTTTTTGCACACATTCCTGAAACTCGTATAAAACGCTAAATATCGCCAGCTGAAGAAGTTCCACCTGCCGCAGGAGCTGCTGAAACAGTTCTACTTAGCCATCACTGAATCCATCCTCTGCACTTCACTAACTGTCTGGTTCAGCTCGGCTACCAAAACTGACCTTAGAAGATTGCAGCTGATAGTGCGGACTGCTGAGCGAATCACCAGTACAACCCTCCTCACCCTCCGAGAACTGTACTCATCCAGAGTGAGCAAAAGGGCTGACAAAATCATTCTGGACCACTCATACCCAGCACACTTCCTCTTTGAACTGCTGCCGTCTGGTCGGCACTACAGAGCACTGAGCACCAGAACAGCCATACATCGGAAAAGCTTCTTCCCTCAGGCCATCTACATTACAAAGAGTTAAATGTCTTCCCCACTGTGCAATAAAACATGTGCAATAGCCACTTATCCATACTTATATTTATTATACATATGTTATTGATTTAACATATCTTGCATCTATATAAATTCCCTTGTATAATTTATATGTAGCACATCTGTACATGCAGTTATTGTCTATTGTGCTTTACATATTTATTTTAAATCACTTATTAGGTTGGCTTGAGAAAGCCAACCTACTCATCTGCTACTTAAGCTTATTATTAGTGGTGCTTGCCAAAGGCAAGGCATCACTATTATTATCTCACATACTTATTATTCTTCTTCTTCCATACAAAGTTCGGCGCGTAACTCGTCCCGCACCGTTTGTCACAGACCCACGAAACAGGCGTCAAATTGTGCGGCCTATTGAGGAGAGGTGTGCTATGACTTTTATAAGCGATCGGGTGTACGATGTTCGTACAGTGGGCGAAAAATCGGCCGAAAAATCCCATAGACTTTGCATTGCGGCCAACTTTGACGGGTCATAGCTCAGATTGAGAATTTTGTAGAAACTTGTGAATCAGCACATTTGAAGAGGCTATCAAGCTGTGCGAGAACATACCCCACAGTGGGGTATAAGTTGTACCCCTAGGGCACAAAAGCCCCCCAAATTTGTGATTGATAATTTAATTATATGAAAAATTAAAATTGATACGCCTAACAGCGCACTTTTATCTAGGCTACATTTTTAAACTAACATTGTAATATTTTTTAAGTGTTTTATATCTATAGATTTTATTTTAAGCAAGTCCTGATGATTTGAGAAGGCTAAATTGATCAAACGTGATCAACTCAGCTGTCTGCCGCTATCCGCTTGGTTGTCACTTAAAAAAAACAAACAAAAAAAACTTGATTTTAACAAACAAAAAATGTTCCAAAAATTTTTCGAAATTAATTAATAATGAAACAATAAGAAATATAAGATTGCAATTAAAAACAAACTGAACTATTTTAATGGCTGCAACAGCAGCTGTGTAATTAGGAAGCGAGAGAGAGAAAAAAGACACGGGCTGTGTCCGAAATCGCCCCCTATACCCTTAAATAGGGCACTATTTGAGGGAACAGCCATTTTTAGTGGTGTCCGAAACCATAGTGGACGTTCTCGAGTGCATTCATTCAATCCCACAATGCACTGCAAAAACGAGTGTACAACTGGTGCACGCTCAACGGCTAGAGAATGCCCATAATGCACCGTGAGAGTCACGCGCCGAATGAATTCCTGCATCTCGCCAGAAGATGGCGCCCGCAGCTGAATAATCAATCCATTCATTTTTACAAAGCGCTCATCCATGGCGTACAGCATAATGTACAACTCGGGTATAAATTCATTGTAAATTGATTATTAAATTGTTTGATTAGGGTTTATACATCATTTCCGTGACAGAGTTCACGATAAATCCTTTAATCTTACTACTGGAGCTGCTAGTTTGCTAGTTTCAAATGATTAATAAACAGCAAGCACAAACTATGCAAAAGCGGCATGCCTTCCGGTGCACTCAGTGTCCGAATTCACTACTCGTTTTCATTCACTGCTTCTAGTGAACTGAATTAGTGACCTAATGTAGGGAATAGTGAATGAGGGTATAGGGGGCGATTTCTGACACAGCACACGGGCTCCAGTCAGACTCAGGACGAGGATACTGGTAAGCTGTCGGCCAAGGACTGCTATAGGGCCTAGGTTTGAGGCCCGTGCAGGGCTCTACCTGATTTCTGCGTTTGGAAATGAATGTTGTGAATCAGGGGTTGTTTTCTAATTAAATGACAAAATTCTTAAGTTGTATTGTTGTATTCAGTTGTAAAAATGTTTCAATTATTATTTAAAAACTTTTTAATTAATACAAAGTAACGATAAAAAGTTATCAATTTCTTAATTCATGGACATAATTTTCGGCATGTCATGGGCTCTGTACACGGGAATAAATGTGTTAACAAAAGGCCAGATAACGAATAAGTATGTGTGACCTGCTGAAATACACCAGCAAATTATTAAATGTAAGTTTCATTTGTGACATTAATGTGACTATAGTGCCAAAATATGTGCTAGAACTAGGCCTAGCCTATAACACTCAACAATAAGCCACCTTTTCAATCGTTTTATTTTTTATGGCATAGGCCTAATGCACACCTCCTTAAATGTAATCTAAACATTCCAAGTTAATATCCTACTTTTTGTAAGATTTCTAGGTGTTTTTCATATCACAGTTTTAGCCTATTAATCTTGATTTCTCACAACTTCTTTTGTTCAAGTTTTTATTTATTTATTTATTTTGATGGTGTGAGTCCGAGTAAATTGCAACGCGAATAGTCTCGTGGACGTGCAGCCTTGTACAGTGGACCAACGGCCAAGGTCAGGATTTTTCTTTCAAAAACTTTAGCCTGTAGATTGAAATGAAAACCCCTTAATACAACATAAGGAAATTGTGTAATTATAATGATTTTTATAATGACTGTTTAATAACCATAACATGCAGTAAGAGCCTTTATGTAAATTTTATTCTTTCTTTTTTTTCTTTTTTTTGATGCATTAGGCTGCAGCCTACGATGTTTTGAAATTAACCCTCACTGTAAATGTTCTAATTAATTTATAATGTTATATTAAAATGTTATTGTTGTTTTATTTCGTTATTTTATCTTAGTTTACAAAACAAAATATCATAATTTCAGTCAGTTTGCAAACTTTCCCTTTGCTCCACCTGGCGGTAGTTTCATGAACAACTTTCACACGCGAATGACTTGCAGTTAACGCCGTGGCCCTGCAGTATTTTTTCTGTCACATGGCCTCGCATATATTTAAATGTAAAAAAATGCAATACATGTAAAAAAAAATGTCTTGGTTTTTTTTTCGGACCTCTGCTTGGAAGAAAATATAGAGGCTGCGCCTTGGAACTTTAATTGAATACCCCTGACTTATAACATAAATAAATACTTTATTTGTATGGTTTTGTAATATCTGTGTCACATATTTTCTTGTGTGTCATGGTGGATTGGACTCTTATTATAGAATTGAATTACAGGAAATCTGTTTTGAATACGGTAATGGATTAAAACATAGCCTATAAATAATAGGCTGGATGTACAATAACCTTACATCTTAACACCTCTTTTTTTTTTACAAAGCAGATCATAGAATATATATTTTGTCTATAGCCTATAAAACAGCTTTGTAAATAGGAATAATAATAATTAATAATTCCTTACATTTATATAGCGCTTTTCTGGGCACTCAAAGCACTTTACATAGAAGGGGCAAATCTCCTCAACCACCACCAGTGTGCAGCATCCACCTGGACAACGGCGGCCATATTGCGCCAGAACGCCCACCACACACCAGCTTATTGGTGGAGAGGAGACAGGGTGATGAGGCCAATCAGCAGATATGGGGATGGTTAGGAGGCCATGATGGTCAGAGAGGCCAATGGGCAAATTTGGCCGGGATGCCGGGGTTACACCCCTACTCTTTTTCAAAGGACATCCTGGGATTTTTTATGACCACAGAGAGTCAGGACCTCGGTTTAACGTCTCATCCGAAAAACGGTGCTTTTTGTCAGTATACTGTCTTTTAATACATGAGGATTCTGAATGAGATTTTTTTAGCAAGCCATTAAATGACTTGAGACTCGACTCGGACTCGTGACCAAAGACTCAAGACTTAACTCAGACTCCAGCGATAAAGACTTTAGACTTGACTCGGACTCCAAGTTAAAGACTTTTGAACATCTCTGGTTTAAGAGGACCAAACGTCCACGTACCATTTCAGGAATGACAAATGCGAATGTTGAATTGACGCGAGGGAATCCGTTAAATCATGCCGCGAGTCATTGCTTGCTATGATTGACATTGGCAACGGAATGAATAATCTGACGAGCCGATGTCAAAATAGAGCTGTGCATTAAGTGATTCAGACTAAATTCAGACTAACAAAACTACAGCAGCAAGTCTGTGTAGGATAAAACTTAAACGATGTAGTTATTAAATTAAATCTAAACATTTCAAAATATTGAATGCATTATTTAATTGTTATACCAACTTATTTAATTTGTATTTGACTATAGGTAGCCTATTTAAATAATTCAGCATTATAGGATGTTGTTTGGCCTTATTTATTTATTTCTTTAAATGACAAGTGACTCTGTGACTTCCTGCACTTGCTTATATACTAAATTTGTTGCTTGTTGCTAAAAATTGTGTTTGCTCTTCAGTTGAACAGCGATCATAAGCAAGAGCGACCATAAGCAATTGAAGAGCGACCCTAAGCAATTCATAAGCAATTGAACAGCGATCATAAGCAACAGCGATTGTAAGCAAATGAACAGCGATCATAAGGAACAGCGATTGTATCATAAGCAACAGCGATCATAAGCAACAGCGATTGTAAGCAAATGAACAGCGATCATAAGCAACAGCGATCATAAGGAACAGCGATTGTAAGCAATTGAACAGCAATCATAAGCAACAGCGATTGTAAGCAATTGAACAGCGATCATAAGCAACAGCGATTGTAAGCAATTGAACAGCGATCATAAGCAAAAGCGATCATAAGCAACACCGATCATAAGCAACACCGATCATAGGCAACTGAACAGCGATCATAAGCAACAGCGATCATAAGTAGGGATGCACGTATCGGGCCCGATACTGAGCTCCTGTACTCGTTAGTGCTGTGTTCAAAATATCGATACGACGATGTCGTCACAGAGATTTGACGATACGACAAAAGTGAAAGTAACAGCCTGTGTGAAATGCGCTAGGCTGTACTACTGTCCTCTCATTCTGCAGCAGTACAAATACGTGCACGCATTGCGTGTGTTTTGCTTGATTGAGTGTTTCTGCATTATATGAGTGCTTTGGAATGTAAATCGCAGCACGTTTCACATGAAAAAACGCGACTTCTATTTCTGAACTGTGTATGTGCACTAAGTCATGTTTATTTGTACATGTAATTAATTTCTATAGAGATAATGCATTATTACAGTGAAACAATTTGCTATTTTTATTTTGTAAATTAGCAGAAACCCATCTCTACCACTGCAGTGCTTTATCACCATTTTTTTTTTATAAAGTTGTAATTCATAATTCTGAATCATTTTGTCATGTGAGAACAATTGCAACAGTTCCTATTTTCTTTCAGATGATGTAACTGCTGTAATAAAGCCTGTATCATAGAATAGTAACTTGTCAATCTGTTTTTATTTTGTAGTTGTTTGTTGAATAACTAGGCTTAAATGTAATTTGAGGTACTTTAGTAAAACCATGGTTAAACAATGGTATTACAACCATAGTTAATTTGTGGTACTTGAACCATGGTTTGCACCAAAAAAACATGGTTACTACAGTCATGGTTTACTAGTTTTACTATAGTATTACTACAATATAACTGTAGTAAAACCATGGTATCAGAACCAAAAAAAAACATGGTTAGTACAGTCATAGTTTACTATAGTTTTACTGTAGTATTACTACAATATAACTGTAGTAAAACCATGGTATCGCACCAAAAAACCACGGTTACTACAGTCATGGTTAACTACAGTTTTACTATAGTAAAACCATGGTTCATTTTCGTAAGGGTATAAGCAATTGAAGAGCGAACCTAAGAAGAGCGACCCTAAGAAAAGCGACTTTAAGGACAGCGACCCTAAGAAAGGCGACTTTAAGGTAAAGGCGACTTTAAGGAGAGGCGATTTTAGTGTAATAGAAGCGACTTTAGTGTAATAGAAGCGACCTTAGTGTAGAGGCAACTTTAAGGAGAAGCGACCTTAGTGTAGAGGCGACTTTAAGGAGAAGTGACCTTAGTGTAATAGAACCGACCTTAGTGTAATAGTAGCGACCTTAGTGTAATAGAACCGACCTTAGTGTAATAGTAGCGACCTTAGTGTAATAGTAGCGACCTTAGCGTAATAGTAGCGACCTTAGTGATAGTAGCGACCTTAGTGTAATAGTAGCGACCTTAGCGTAATAGTAGCGACCTTAGTGATAGTAGCGACCTTAGTGTAATAGTAGCGACCTTAGCGTAATAGTAGCGACCTTAGTGATAGTAGCGACCTTAGTGTAATAGTAGCGACCTTAGTGTAAGCAACTTAAGCAACTGAAGAGCGAACCGAAAGCTAAAATCAAGCAATACACAGAGAACCGCAGAATTAATCAAATGTACCTGTTCATCGTGGTGGCGCAATATTATATAAATTATATATTATACCCAATATATAATTTATTTTGAAATACACAAACACCGATCATAAGGCTAAAATCTTCTTCTTCTTTCAACTTAGTGGCGGTTGGTAGACCAACTTATAGTGCATTTCCGCCACCTACTGAGATGGAGTGTGGAGCGTCAATGAGTAATGTAATATAGGTAATAAAATAAGAAATGAAGAATGGAAAGAATATATATATATAT